CATACAAGGCGGACAAGCGGAAGAGTCAGAAGTAACCCGGACATGTCTTACATTTTATTATTGTCAGTTAGACTCGCGTAGTCAATATACTTGCGTATATTGTCGACTAAAATAGTAAAACTATTTTAGCTTTCTAAAGTACGGCGCACGGCACATTTTTTTACCAGCATAGTAAAGCGCACCGCGCATGTCGTCAAAATGACAAAATAAATTCCCGCACACCTGGCACATCTTCCTGACCATGGCTTCGGACATTTTGAAATTAGGTTTTATTTCAAGTTTCCCAGATCACCCCGTTCCCAGGTGTAATTATGGATGCTTTTATCTTGCGTGTGGTACCTTTCAAATAGCATATGGAATTTTTCAGAGATGCCATAAAATAGCCCTTGCAAAGACCTTTAAATTGAGGCTAATGAGCCCAAATTCGTTTATGAAATGTTTCATGGTAGAAAGTTATTAATAAGAAACGCTCATACCGTCCCTTATTACCCCGTTTGATGGTACATTTATCATTTATGTATAGCTAAATTGCTATTTATCCTGAGAGTTGACGAGGAACAGGCTGCCGTCAGCGTGACGAGGAACAGGCTGCCGTCAGCGTGACGAGGAATAACAATCGTTCCTGATAAACATGATAACTGTTTAATGAGCTCACTAGATTAATGATAAACTCTTTATTTAACTCATTGGGTAAATGATGACCTGCACTTTATGATAAAGCGTCCAAGTATCATAAAATATTCGTGATAATCTGTTGAATTTGCACATTATTTATGATTTACTTTGTAATTTCAATGTAGGAGTTATAAGCAAAAGCTCTGCTGCATGATGAACTTGCCACACTGCACGAAACCTGAGAAATCAACCGTTGTTTAATCTCTCTAAGAGATTTTTGCCGAATGATTTATATCCAAGCGACGAAAATTGTGACGACTAACACGCCCTATATACATAGTTTAGGCTCTTCAGTGTTTTACTTACGAGGGATGAGGAGAGCGAGGCCATTTGTACCAAACCTTTCCTTTTTGATGCACGAAGTTGATGGGAGAGTTGAACTGTTCGATGAATAAGTTGATGGGTGAGTTGTACCTGTCTCTTATACACATCTAGATGTGTATAAGAGACAGGACTTGAACTGTTCGATGAATAAAGTTGATGGGTGAGTTGAACTGTTCGATGAATAAAGTTGATGGGTGACTTGAACTGTTCGATGAATAAAGTTGATGGGTGAGTTGAACTGTTTGATGAATAAAATTGATGGGAGACTTGAACTGTTCTATGAATAAAGTTGATGGGAGACTTGAATTGTTCGATGAATAAAGTTGATGGGAGACTGGAACTGTTCGATGAATAAAGTTGAAGGGAGACTTGAACTGTTCGATGAATAGAGTTGAAGAGGGAGTTGAACTGTTCGATGAATAAAGTTGATGGGAGACTTGAACTGTTCGATGAATAGAGTTGAAGAGGGAGTTGAACTGTTCGATGAATAAAGTTGATGGGAGACTTGAACTGTTCGATGAATAGAGTTGAAGAGGGAGTTGAACTGTTCGATGAATAAAGTTGATGGGAGACTTGAACTGTTTGATGAATAAAGTTGATGGGAGAGTTGAACTGTTCAATGAATAGAGTTGAAGGATGACTTATTCTGTTGGACGATCATAGGTAATACTTTTGCAGAAGGGACATCCTACAGCTCGTACAGCATTATAGGTCACAAGAGCTGTAATTTTGCTCGAAACCGCCATAGTCTCGTTGGCAGATTGACAGCATGACGGGTAATGTGGAGCAAAACTGCACCGCGTGATGCCAGTAAAAATTGCACAAGTCAGAGCTTTAAGATTATACTCCATCGATGGTCTAAAGGTGGCCATTGCTGCACTGAGAAATGGCCATCACGACACCGAGAAAAGGCTATTAAGACGGCGAGAAAAGGCTATTAAGGCGGCGAGAAAAGGCTGTAAAGGCGACGAGAGAAGGCCATTGCGGCAATGAGAAAAGGCTATCACGACACCTAGAAAAGGCTATTAAGGCAGCAAGAGAAAGCTATAATGGCGCTGAGAAAAGGCTATCCCGACACCGAGAAAAGGCTATTAAGGCGGCGAGAGAAGGCTATCACGACACCGTGAAAAGACTATTAAGTCGGCGAGAGAAAGCTATAATGTCTCTGAGAAAAGGCTATTAAGACACAAAGGAAAAGGCCACACAGACACCCGGGAAGCTCCCATGACTACGAGATGTCGGCGCGATGGTGCGTGCAGTGTAACCTGCTTCCTAAATGATGGTCTTGCCTGGCGTCTGTACAGCGTCGCATCTTGTCATGTCGCTCCTGAACCCTCAAGCCCTGAAGAATTAATAGCTTGCGTGTAAGGTTATGATTTGGATTCGAGACGATGAGGAATTTTGTCCCTGAATTTATATTCCATCCTAAATATTTCATCTATGGCGTGTTGTGCTGTCGCTTGCAAGTTCTGAGCCGATGATGTGCAGAGCGGTCTACAAGTGTAGAGTAGACCCCCTCCTTGATCTACATTATGTGATCAAGTACTACTACTGCTACCATTACTACTACTTGATCTACATTATGCGGACCTTCAACTTGATATTTCACGCATGATATTTTTAGATGAGAGTGCAGATTTGATCTTATGATAAAGTGGATATTTAGATATCATAGCTACCAGACACGTTATCATTGAATGTTGAGCTTCTTTGTGAATATTTTTCTCTGTACTTGCTCATCTCAAGACAAATAACAGCAATAATATAATAGCTTCTTGCAGTTTGAAGCTGTAACATCGCTGGCCACGAGCAGGAACAATATGAGCGGAACAATGTCATGCTACGAGCAGGAACAATATGGAGGGAACAATGTCATGCTGCGAGCAGGGACAATATGAAGGGAACAATATCATGCTACGAGCAGGGACAATATGAAGGGAACAATATCATGCTACGAGCAGTGGCAATATGAGCGGAACAATATCATGCTACGAGCAGAGGCAATATGAGCGGAGCAATGTCAAACTACGAGCAGGGGTAATATGAAGGGAACAATGACATACTACGAACAGGAACAATATGAGCGGAACAATATCAAGCACAGAACATTCACAGTTTGTTGCGGTTTCGAACTCGCAACTCATTGCTCCAGTTCCGCTGTGCTTAACCGCCCGGCCTCCTTGCCAATTCTGACCAGAAACTGGCGCACAGAGCTGGGATCGAACCCGCGCCTCTCTGCTCCAATCTTGGTACTCTGAACTTTAACCACTGGATCACCCTGCCTAGCATCAGTTATGCGGTAAAAGGCACTGGGAATGACATTCGATGCCCCATGACTTTGATGGGGCCCTCTCATCACAGCCATCAGAAGTGATGCATTAACGCGCACTTTTATCTTGAAGCATTTTCATCGCGGCAGAAAGACTACGCCACGTGCCTGAAGATGCCCCATCTGCTCTGGCAGACGAAGAGCGACTTTTTACAGTTATTTGGAGAACCATGACGATGGCGCTCCCACCTGTCACAGGTTGATTCGATTCCTCCATGGCTTTCTGTACAGTCAAACCCCTGCATTGCCCTCAGTTACGTGTTTGTATTCATCTTGGCTATAGATTTCAACTACACACGAAGGAAAGTTAGCCCCATCGCTGCAAAATATTCTGTGATGGCTCACGTCTGGGGATAGCTCATGATTGGCCTGCGGTATATTTATACTGATAAAGCTTGAGGTATATCATGGTGCCTCCGCCCAATGCATTGCATACTGCTAGCTGAATTATATACTATCTTGCAGGCCCTCGTCATTATTTTTGAGGAAGCACCGGGTCAGTGGAAGTTCTGTTCCGACTCCAAGTCAGGCTTGCAACTCAAAAGGTCCCCAAGCTTATCTTGCCCATCCATTGTATATGAGATCCATGTACGCCAACTGGCCTTGCAGTCTACACCCGTAATGACTGTGACCCTACAATGAGTTGAAGGTAATATCAATATTCATGGTAATAAATAGACCATGAAACTAGATAACTCACTTAACTTTACTGTACTGTCACACATTGCGCAATCAGATTTCATGAGCTGCCTAGGAATAGGATTGCATGAGCGCTGGGAAAACTCGTGGATGTATGAGGTAAATGTTAACGGAGAGAGTGTCCACATAACTCAGTAAGTTGTCTCCTATCCCTTGGTTGGTTGCACCATCCCGCAAAGCCGCCGTAGTCGTGGCCAACTGCTAGTGCGTCTGGGTCATGCTGGCCTTGGTGCATATAGGTACCGATTTGGTAGGTTACCATCTCCGATGTGTAGCAACTGCAATGTAGGAGATACTCATACTGTCGAGCACTACTTTCTTACATATGGGTCACACCCATGGTTGAACTAGTATAAGGTTGACCATGAGCAGCTCATTTTTGCGGATGTAGTTCGTTGTTCGTCTGTGACGTCACTGATTGCAATGATGTCACAGGTATTAACCAATCGCCGAAATGCAATCAAACCTGTCAACCAATCCGTCATGGGAATGACGGGCGAAGAAAAAAGAAGTTCAGAAGTTACGTTTCTCGATCACAGTGACGTAACAATAGAGCTGAACTGAAAACGGAAATCCTCGTGGGTCAAACTTATATAGTTCGACTATGGATCACACCAGGCCGCTCAAAAATTGCGTGAAAGTCCGGAAGATAACTATGATATCAATCTCCTTACGTTCTGGGACCTGCCAGACAGAGGAGACTTCCCATGTAGCGCCCAGTTCGCGGAAATCAAAGGTACAGAACGCCAAAACAATCCCTGAGACTGAGGCCACATCAAGATCCCTCGCTGCGCTACTAAGATGTCCTAATGTAAACCCTTTGCTGAAGATCTTACCATGGAGGTGCAATCAGTTGTTTGTTGGGAGCCATCATTTCTTTGCCGCAAAACGGACAAATGTACCACTTCCGCACGAGCGGCTGTTACGTACAATGAAGTCCTTGTGAGTTGTGGATTCCGGTTCGAGCTGCTGTCGACGACGGATTTTGGTGAGCTGCCTAGCCTGGCAGGCCCTGGCTTAGCTGGCTAGCCAGAATATTTAATTTTAAAAGTGGAGATTCTTGTTGCTTCGCATTTAGGAAAACTTAGGAACCATTCAACAGAATCATAATTTCAACCTCGACGATCACGATGTCACGCCATAAGCGGCGGAAGGAGAGAATATCCCAATATTATACTTATACCTATTCAACATAGAATGACAAGAAATTAACCTAAATTAGCCTATGATTTATTTCTCCAAAGAATATGATGGTTGTCACTAAAATATTCCTTTCTGTTTCAGCCTTCAGGTAACATCAAACGGGTAAAAAGGGACGGGCGGGGTAAATAGGGACGCGCGTCCCACATTTCGTAGAAATGTTGTAGCAGCTAAACTGCTAAACTAATCAAAATATTGCAAAACTAAAAATAGTGGCGTAAACTTCAACATTTTTACTATCTAGGATTATGCATAAAGCTAGTCAAGAAATCAAACATTTACTATCTCTAAAAAATCGCTGAAAAAAGTGTGAAAAGTGCAATTTTGGAAAAGTACCTCTGTTATCGAGTGTAATTCGTTCCTGATGTTTCATTGCATCTTCGAAATTCATGGAGAGTAATATTTTCCACCATAGTGAATGCATCAATTCATTGTATACCAAAGCAGTCCTCACAAAATAATTCTGTTTGCCGTGAGGTAATGAAAACCTATTTTTAATTAAAACAAAAAAATGCGATATATTTGTATTAAATATCAATATCTAAATAAAATGATCGAATGTATCCTTTCATTCGAGGAGAAATCTCCTGCTTATGGCGGCTCACTAAGTATAATATTATAACATTTACCAATCCTTTCTATTCACCTCGTTCTCACACGAAGCTCATTCATAAAGGCTGAGTCACGGTATCCACGTTGGCTCTTTTTCATCACATACTCGTCGAGACTCGCAGACTTAAGCTACTCACGACTGGCCGTGCAGCGCAAGACTCAGTCCTGCGTAGTGCATGGCTGCCTTATATGCCGTACACGCACGGCTGCTCTTGTTGTCGCACGCACAGCCACCACTCCTGTTGCCGCACGCACAGCTGCCGCACCTGTTGTCGAACGCACAGCGGGCGCAGCAGCTTCACGCACAGCGGGCACAGCTATTGTTACCGCTAATGTTGCCTTATAAATCAATTGGAGGCTACAAACTCTTCCATCAACGTCCTTCAGCATTATCATACATAAGAAATTGGTTTAAATCTTTTGTAAATGACAAGATTAAAAATGAACTGATTCTAAAAAATCTCTGGTTTGTCACCATGTCACGCCATAAGCGGCGGAAGGAGAGAATAGTAGAATTATATACTAGAATATCGGATATCTTAATATTACAGTCAACATAGAATGAAAAGAAATTAACCTAAACTATGATTTATTTCTCCAAAAAATATGATGGTTGTCACTAAAATATTCCTTTTGGTTTCAGCTTTCAGGTATGTATTTTACAATCTTTTTTTTTTTTTGTTATAGTGAATTCACTTGTCTTGACAGTCTTGACCCACTCAGACCCAGTTAAAATGGTGCAAAATTACTAGCCATATTGTTTAATGTTAGCTGTTAAGCTTACAGATACAAAAGAAATGCTATAATATAACTGCTGATATGAAGCTTGCAGTTGACAAAGTTGTTGTCAATGCTTAATGGCATGTCCATGGATAAGGTAATATCACATTAATAATACGGTAATGTATGGATAAGGTAATATATTAATAATACGGTTATGTATGGATAGGGTTATTTATTAGGGATTTAGGGTAATATCATATCATTTATCAATAAAGGAAAATAAATACAAATCACAGAAAGTGTCATTTATTCTATATCTACATTATTTACAAACCAAAGGAAGAGGAGGATTTCAGAGTACTGTTAATGTTAGTAATGGATGAGTATACTTTGCATGCTTCAGACCCACACTCAGGATGATGTATGTTTTCGGTGAATTTTCCCGCCCATTTCCACTTTTTTAAGCTATTGCTGTGCACAGTTGGCGCAATGTAATGAAAATTGATTCTCTTCGCGCACGCATGGTGGTTTTTCAGCAAATCCTTGGGCATTTAGAGCCAGCACTCCAGCAGGCACTCCGCAGGCACTGTGGCGCTCCGAAGCATTTTGGAGTTATTTTACCAAAAAATAAAATTGATTTTACCACCCGGTCAAAGAAACCCCAGGAGCTGGGGTAACAAAGACCATCACTTTTTTTAAAGTTACATCAAAACTATGAAAGGCAGGAGCCAGCAATTTATGGTGAGTAAAGCTAGAGTATAGACCTGTATTTTGCATGTTTCAAATTAAGTTTAACTTATTTAGTAAAAAAATGGCATCATTTTGAAAAAAAAGTGGTCAAAGTTACCCATTTTACAGTACAGATGAAATGCTACATGGCTGCTGATATGAAGCTTGCAGTGGACAATGTTGTTGTCAATGCTCAATGGCATGTCCATGGATACAGTAGGTAATATCACATTAATAATACGGATTTATACGGTAATTAATGAATATGGTAATATCATATCAATAAAAGAAAAACAAGTAAAAATCACAGAAAATGTCATTTATTTTACATCTACATCATCTTCTCATACCGTCCCTTATTACCCCGTTTGATGGTACATTTATCATTTATGTATAGCTAAATTGCTATTTATCCTGAGAGTAGAAACAAGAACAATTATTTCCTATTTGGAGCTATTTAAGTATTTAGCAGTGCATTCAATACAATTTCACATTTTTTTTATTAATATCCATTGTAGTAGATTCATATTGCAATTGCATCATCACACAAGTCTAAAATAGAATTTAATTTTTGGATTTCACTACTTGTTGATAAAATTGAATGGCTTCAAACTAACACATTCACAATAATTTTAAAATCTCTTGGCATGATCAGGCAATTGTGTTGACAAAATTAGATAAGAATTATTTATTTATCAGAAATCTTGAAACTTCTAAAATGGCAGCTAAGTAAGTTCAGGCCTTGGCTTAGAATGCAAGGAGCAGGTGAATAGATCTTTGGCAACACATGAGCATAAAAATCTATGTCTTCAGAAGATGTTGCCAAACATTTATATTTAAAATACCTCTTCAAATGTAAATATTTACTGCAAGAAATCTGGAAGGTTTAGAAGTTTGGCAACAAATCCTCAATAAGTCTCACTACACTTTGGTCCTAAAATAAGAATTTTAGAGAGCCAACTCTGCATAGTGGTTGGAAAACAGATGTATTTCATGCCTGAGAGCAACTGTTTACAGTATTCACAACTACAATGATCTTTTTTGTACTAGATTCTATTTCAACTGTAAACATAATAATATTGATTCATGGGTCAAGTTATTATAGGTACTAAAATTATAGGTACTTATGTATGTACATAGAAAGATCAACGAGGTGAAGGTTGAGCTATAAATAGCCTAATTCAACTCATGGTAGCAATGTATTTACTCATGATTGATTTGTTTTATTATAGTAACTTTTTTGCAGGACTATGTATGGAAGCACTAAAATAAATTTTGTCTATTCTGGCAACTGTGTTCCATTCATTTCATGTACTGAATGTGTATCCTAAGCTATGTACATAATTTTATTTCTGTGCCATGTTCATCAATTTCAATTTTTGTAACTGATTCATATTGTTCTTCCAGGAAATCCTTTTTTTTATCAATAGAAATCAATTTATTACCATCATCCAAAGTGATGGAAGCAAACAGAAATCTCAAGCAAAGCTCTAATCTGGCAGCAACTAGTACAGCAACTAGCGCCACCACTCATGCTGCCGCTGTTTCCAGTAGTAAAGTTAACAGCATTACCAATGGCAATATTCTCAGTGTACAGGCTCCTTCAATTTATTTTGCATTTGCTAGTTCATCCAATGTTTCCAATGGAAAATTGATTCCTACTTTCCTATTGTCAAATGCTTCAAGCTTGGGAAATTTGTCCCAGGCTATTTGGATTCCTACGGCTGCTGTGATGCCGCAGACTCAAGATTTAGGGGCCGTTTTGCCGAAAATAACTAAGTCAGCTCAGGATTCTACCACCAAACCAGCTATGTGCTCTAAACTAGATGCAACACAATGCTCCTTGATAGAATCAACTCAGTGTGCCATGAGTGAATTGGCTCCTTCCATTGTGCCTGACACAGCTCATCCTGATCCACTCCCTGCTGAGTTACCTCAGTATACTCCATCCTCCACTGAGTTACCCCAGTCTGCTCCATCCTCCACTGAGTTAATGCAGTCTGCTCCATCCTCCACTGAGTTACCTCAGTCTGCACCATCAACAGAAATGCCTCAGTGCTCAAAAATGGAGTTACTTCAAATCGCCAGCACACCTGTGAGTCACAATAAATGTCATATTATCATCCAGATCCTAACATATTTTCCTATTTGGGTTCAGTTGCTATAGAGTGTGATTTTTATAAGACAAATGTTTTATACAAGTTACAGCTTGGTTTGCCTTATAGTTTCTTTTGATTTCCCTTGGAATTTGTTTCTTGGATGAATTTCTTCTCACTTAGAATTGAAATGAATTTGGTATGAAGAGGATTGAATTTGTTATGATTTAATTAACTTTTTTTGCCATGGTTTGATGATTCAAATAACCTAATTTTTTCCCTAGGCTTTCATTCTCATTTTATTTTCCAGAGCACCCGTGTAAGAATCCCCAGAATTAACTGGAAAAAAGCACCTCGGACTGTCAAGAAAAGTTGGAAAAGAAAATCCTGCAAGTCTCCCAAAATTTCACGTACAATGCGCTTCATACTTCCTAAGTCTGAAATTCAACTTCACTCCTCTGTCACCAGAGATATCAATGTCAATTCTGGTAGAAAAACATCTCTGAATTTATTGAGTGGGACTTCAATGTATTCCATTCCACAATCTGGTAAAGTCGGAACTAATTTTACTCCTTCTGAAGAAATTTCATCTTCAAGTTCTTCAAATTCTGCTTGTGCAATAAATTCCAGCATTTTAAATTCAGAGTCTAAAATAATTTCAGATCCTATTAAGGAAGAGGCATTTAACTCAGTGCAGGCACTTGTAGGTCCTGTCCTTGTTGCCAGCACTTGTGTTACATCCAGCAAAAGCAACTTGCAGTCAGCTTGTTCTGTGCCTTATGCTGCTGCAGAAGCCCCTCATGTTTTATCCTCTTTGCCCTGTAGTTCAACTAGTTTGAATGCTTCCATACTGGTTGATGCTGTGGCTGCTGGAAACCATGTTGACTCATCAGTTGCTGCACACTGCGATTCTTCTGTTAACAGCTCTGATGTTGTGGACTTGAATGCTAATGAACTTTCTCAGGAGTTTACTTTTTTTCGTGCTGTGCCACCAAAGCCAACAATTAATATTGAAACCCAAGTTGAATCCACAAAATATACTAAGTCTATGGGAACATCGAACTGCCATTTAGGGGGTAAAAGAAGAGCAAACCGTAGCAGAAATAATTTGGATCGGGAACCAATGTATAAACCATTGATGGCTATGCAAACCAGAGCAGGTATAAAGAACCAAGCTTGCACCAAACCTAGCATCAACACCACCACAGCCTCGACTCGCAGAAAAGTTATTTTAGTTAAATCAATAACTGAAGAGAAATCTACCCACAGTGGACTTCAGGTAAGTGCTGTATTTACCCTGAAAGTAATTCTTGTACAATTTTCGGTAATAAGTAGTATGTCTATACTAGTGATATTATGCTAGTCAAATTATGAATGTTCAAGATTTATTTGGAAGTCTCCAGACTCACGTAAATAAAACGAATAAAAATTCTAGGGGTGAGAATTTTGAATCTTGTTCTGTCCTTCTAGGTGAATAATCAAATATTGTCAAAACTCGAGGAAATAATGTGTTTTTAGGCCAAATAATTCTCGCTAATTTGTGATTTTTGCTTACACTCAGTCTTCCGAAATACATTCAGTCATCCATCAGATATTCATGGTCAATCACCAAATTGTCTAGGGGTTTGCAAAGTATTTTCTGTATCATAAATAACCACTCCAATAACCGGCAGAGACTGTCAACAAATTGCTTGCAATTGTGATACTGAAGCTAAAGTTTGTTCTGGTCCTCAGGGCGAGTTTGATGCCATGCTTCCTGGCAATATTGATGCATCCAACAACATTGATCTTGCTGCATGTGGCATTGAAGTTGATGAACCACTTCATGAAGCCATCACAAATGCCACCAAGTTGATGGATGGCACGAATACTCTAAGGATCTCACCTCAATTAATGCGCAAGAAGAACTCCAGATCAATCCTTTCATCAAATATGTCAAGCAAAATTGAGAGGGACGGCGAAAAGATTTTTACGATTAATTCTCAAGAGCCTTTAGTTGAGTTCAATGCTGGTGGTAATGTTGCTGGTATCCCCGAAGTAGCCGTTAACGTTAAATTATCACTTACGGAAGTGAACCTCAAAAATTCCCAACCATCCTCTTCTTCTGGCCAGAGAAATATCGAGGATGTAGGATCCAAGAACCCAGGGAGTGAGGTCTTTGTTGGAGGAGATGGACCAACTTCTGGAGATGGACAAAACATGGGACGAACAAGCAAACGGATTCTGTTGTGTCAGGTATAGTTTCAGGTTTGCTGTTATAAACACACGTTTTGGGTCATGTCGTGCTTCTGGGTCTCATTATCTGCTTTCCAACGAGAATGTGATATTTTATTCGTTGTTTATAATAATTAGATTTAGAAATAGGTTAACGATTTGTTGAAGTTTCAATAATTTGATGCTTGCCACACAAAACCGCAGTACCTTTTCTGAAATGAATAAAGATCCTTGATTACCAGGAAATTTTAGTCTTCATCTGCTGATCATAAAATTTGCCCAGGTGTGTGGCAAGCTTCTGCATGGCGTCTCCAGCCTCAAGACTCACCTGCTCACTCATGCCCCCACCAAGCCCTACGCTTGTGACGTTTGCCACCGACGCTTTAAGCGTCGCACGTATCTCAACCAGCACGCGCTCACGCACACCAACCGACGTCCTCACACGTGTCGAGTATGTCAGGTCACGTACAGAACGCGTAGCCAGCTTATGAGGCACCTCAAAGCCCATGAACGCGTCCTTGATGTCTATGAGTGTAAGCAATGCTCTAGGGTTTTCAACTCTCGGTTTGCTCTCAACTCGCACGCTAAAGTTCACGTGGAGAAAGTCTCAAGTTGCTGTGAGATTTGCGGCGAGTTTTTTACTTCTGCAAAAGCGCTCAAATTGCACAGATTGACGCATTCGGAATGCCAGCACCGTTGTGAAGTCTGCGGAAAAAGATTTGCATACCTGAGTTTGCTTCAGCGGCACATGGTTAGTCATGACAATGATGAACCTCGGTATTCGTGCAAAATTTGTCCAATGAAATTTTTTTGGGAGACCAGCCTCGCCAATCACGCCAAAACCCACGTGCCTAAAAAGTTCAAATGTACCTTCTGTCCGATGGATTTTCACTCGGAGCTTAAGTACACGTCACATCTCAAGAAACACTCGAATCCCAAGCCACATTCGTGCACTCTCTGTCCTAAGAAGTTTGCATTCACGTATCAGCTGAATAAACACATCAACAGCACCCATGATCTCAAGAGCTTGTTCTCCTTAAAAACACGAAAACTGCGTGGCGAAGATGTGCCAGGTCTTCTGGACGGAGATGTGACCGGTCATCCTGTTTCTATCAGAACCAAAACATGTTTTCAAAACGCTACAGGCGAGATTTCCAACGAAGGAAAGAATTCCGATGTTTCTAGATGTCCTGAGGAAAAATTTGTGGACGGAAGCTTACCCGAACTGTTATCTGAAAACCACCACATTCGAGCACAAGAACACAACTCTTCTGCTGGCCAAAGCAAGAAGAAGAACGCTCTCTGTCAGCCCAGCACCAACATTTCCACCACTGCAAGGAGTAGCACGAATGCATCAAGTATCGCCAGGAATTGTGTTAAAGCACCCATAAATGTCGGCAAGGTACCTGCTGCCAGCAGAAGTGCTGGTGCCAGAAAGAACGCTGAAGCCAGCAATAATTCGGAGGCAAACAGGAGTAGTGTCAAAAAGCGTGTCGTGACCTGCAAGCGTACAAATACTGATAATAAATTCACCGCTGAAAATAAAGCTGAACTGAAGCACTCTCGAAAGATGACCGCCATAACTTCTTCTAACGATGAAAATTCTGTAAATGCAACTTCTGATGAAGAACAAATTTACAAAAATGCCGTCAGACCTACTAAGCAATCCTTAACGCCTGCTCCATCCCTGAGCTCTAGTGTCATGCCCAGGCTTGCTTACTCTCGACGTAGTAATGCATTGCCTAAAAGTTGCGCTAGGCGATTAAGCGCCTGTGGCGTCTCCTCTTTTGATTCTAATGGGGAACGATCAGGACCTCCTCCGGCTTACAGCTTCTCATCTCCCCAAGCGTCCACTCAGAGCCCAAAGGAAAATTTGTATCCCGTCACTACCCCGAACTTTTCATCAACTTCCATTTTGAGCATTTCATCAGCTCCTACCCCAAACTTTCAATCGGGACCTACTACTTCTAACTTTTCATTGCCTCCTACCTCTAACTTTATATCGGCTCCCACAACAAAATATTCATCGGCTTCTACCCCGAACTTTTCATCAGCTCCTACTGCAAACTTTTTATCGGCTCCCTCCTCTAATTTTTCTTTAGCCTCTTCCCCGCTTGAACATTCAGATGTGAATTATTTCCCTGAACCTTCGAAGGGAAACAGTGGGGTCGCCAAATCCTCCTCAAGATCTTCTAAATTCGTCCATTTGGCATGTAGGGATTTTTTCCCTATCGGAAGCGGGGAGGATCGTGGAAGTTTTACAGGACAGCCCCACCCCCACCTGTTGCCCGCGTCCTGTGATCCCTACTTGCATTCCTCAGCCTTCATTAAATCCCCAGCTCTGCTCCCCTCTTACATGGAAGATTCCTTCACCCACAACCCGCCTGACAGCCCACTCAATAACTTGAGCCCGCAATACAGCCCTCCTGATATGTACAGCCCAGAGTACAGCTCACCCGCGCACCTAGGCCCACCTCACAGCCCGCATCAGATATCCAACACTGCATACAACCCAAGACATAACTCAACTCGCCAGCCTTACCCACCTCCACCTTCGTATCTATAGCGAGAAAACTCAATATACTATTGAACTCGGCTGGTCAACCAATCTCTACCTTCTTATTTTTATAATTACAACCAACGACATAACTACTCGACGGCTCAACCCTCTTCATCGCCAGCACAGCCCGCCTATTTCCCTAAACTCCTAAGTGCGCCCGCGTTGCGCCAGCACACCAATATCAGTTCCCTCAGGGCGGGTTGAGGTGATATACTCAAAACTAACTGCAAAGATTACTGGCTGTTATTTGTCGTTGATCTATCACGTTGTTATACAGTTACTGTACTATATACTGTTTCATGTTCGTTTATGTTCGTTGTTGTTGTTGCTTAGTTTTCTTGCGTATAAAAGAAGGTCTTCAGTTTGCAGTGAACTGAATTTCATAGACGCGTCTTGGTCATCTTCGATCGTGTACACGTAAGCCATTCATTTCCGTACATGAAATGTTATGCGCGTTCTGCGGCGTTAATCACATCGTAACCAATAATAAGAACCATAGTTTTGATTATGATGATAATGTTCATCGCAAGTGCCAACTCAATGCACTGCAACAAGCAGAGGATAATTCACGTCCAATTGCGTACGGAAATGTGAAAATTCGAATTTCCTTCATCTTGCTACTCACTCATCCTTGTCATTTTACAACCTCGGTAATAAGTTAACAATTATTTACTGAATAAATTAGATGGAGTTTCACATATATATATCGTATGTGGTTGGCGCCTTGTTACAATTTCCTACTAAGATTTTGAATTCGCGTCGGTTCTTGTTGATCAATAAAAGTGATGATATTCTTCTTACGAACGATGTGTTCAGTGTTTTTTATCCTGTCTTTGATGCAATAGCAGTACAGTTTAGTTCCTTCATAATTGTTGATCACGTTTTTTTTTGTGTTGAATCCCTAATGGTTTACAGAGGTAGTTGAAGTTTTAATAACAATAAACACGAGGAAATAACGCAACAACCTGTCGTTAACAAACATTTATCCAGAGTTTGTCATGGTGAAGGGTAACAAATAACAAAATAATCATAACTCATATAANAGGAGATAGATTTCTACAGTACCCCCTTTCTTGGCCGTTTTCTAATAATTTCACGTTTTCTTTAATTTTTTTCGAAAAATTCACACGAACAAAAATGTCTTAGAATTCTGTTTTACATATGTGTACCAAATTTCAGAGTGATCCGTCTGTGAATAGCCGAGATAAATTTTACCCCAGACGCTCCCCTTAATACGATAACATGAAGATGGCTAATCCAAGCCACACTTGCACGCATCATGCCACGTTGAGCTGAATCATGCCACATTTTCCCTCGTTGGCCCACTGGTCCCCCAGCCTGCCCCGGACCCGCTGCAGCTGTTCCTCCGAGGCCCCGACGGCGGGGCCGCCCTTCACGGTGCGCAGGGCCAGCACGGGCCCCAGCTGTGCCAGCTCGGGGCCCAGGACCTCACGGAAGGGCGTCGTGCTGGGCCAGGACAGGTCCCCGACCAGCTTGCGGTAGTTCAGGTCGCCCTGAAGTGAGACGCGGGTCAGGGGGGGGGAGCGATTACGATATAATAGAATTACTCATAGTTGATAAAATTCATACATAAAAACATACATGACACACATGATGACATGACAGACGACGATGGCAGCCAGCAGCTCATCGTGACGTGGCTAAGAACCTGCCGGGAAGGGGCGAGGGCTCGACCAGGGCAGTTAGACGTTGTCAGCTGTATGAGGGCATAGACAGTATGACACACGACATAGATGACGAGGGCAGCCAGCAGCTCATCGTGACGGGACCGTGAACCTGCCACTCAGGTCGTGGAGAGGGGGAGGGGGAGCTCGGCTAGGGCAGTTGGACGTTGCCAGCAGCTACAAACTGCCTTTGATTCGTGATAATACTTCTATTTATATTGAATACGGCTGAAAATACAGCTGCTAATATTGAATATGGCTACTGTAACACAAACCTACACATGACGGCCGTATTAGGCACGGCCGCCTATATCAAGCTGACCATGACACGCGGATAAGGCGACCCTTCTGCACGTTGCTGACAGCCACGAGGGCGGCGCGCTGACGCTCATTCTAGTGAATGAGCGTCATTGAGCGTGAGTGAATGAAAGTCATTCTAGTGAATTGCGATGGCCGCGTGGAAATAAAATATATATGTTTAACCGGTAACCCTCATCACCCTAATACTGTAATGGAATTAAGCTGTATAGTCAGTATAGACCTCATGTATTTATTTATCTGAAATTGCTATCAGATGAAAATTATTAGGATTTTTTCATGCTTAATTATTTAGATAATTTATTCATGGCAAATCGTTGGATCCATAATTATTATCAGTTTTTTGAAAAAAGGGAAAGAGCAGCGAGAGAGATAAAGGAGGGAACCATCATTTACGTGAATTTCTACCAATTCCTTTGTCGCCTTTTTCCTGAACATCAATATCGTCCGTAAAGGCTTTAGGAACGATTATCACGATATGCAGATGAAATGATAAATACCGAAATGATAAATGAAACTATAAATACGAAACCGAAATTAAACTCCAGCGGAGACAGCGCTGAAGTGCCCGTCGATGACGTGAATAATTTCTACATGAATCCCTCGAGCTGAATTAAAAATTGAATCAACTTCATTCAAGCCTACACCTCTTGAATATTAAAAGTATTGTTGAACATACTTGGCCACGTTGCTGGACTCCGTTGCAACCTCATCACACGTAACGGTCACAGTTCATCATATAAAATCTTCTCGATTATTGGAAGAGTGGAATATTTATTTTAAAATTTGTCAGTGAAAGAAAAACAGCAAATAACCCTATTGGTCATTGCATAATTTAGTAATATTCGTCTGAACCACCACGGAAACGTCAAAGTGACCTCTGTAAGTTAAATTGAGCGTTTAATACAATTGCGGTATTCGTATTGTTCTGTATTTATGGCATTTTTTCCAAGTACCCGATGCAAGGTTTATCATGAAAGCGCGGATTAAGTAGGACGACGAGCAATGTGATTATTGCGATTAATTTTTCTTTATTCTTACAATAAATGTTGATAACTGCTGCTTCACAACATCATTTTGGTTTCATCGTATTTCATTCATGACTGCGACTTGATAACTTGCACCATGACCGCCTTCAGCCGTGCAGGGTGAGCAGTTTTTATTGCCATCACAATGTACAGTAGAGTGGCAGAACATGGTAATGAGCACCCGCTACAATACCCCTACCCTATAACCCCAATGACCCCGACGGCCAGCCCCTATAACCTCAATGACCCCGACGGCCAATCCGTATAACCCCAATGACCCCGACGGCCAGCCCCTATAACCTCAATGACCCCGACGGCCNCGACGGTATAGTGTGGACCTGCTGTACACGACGGTATAGTGTGGACCTGCTGTACACGACGGTATAGTGTGGACCTGCTGCACACGACGGTATAGTGTGGACCTGCTGCACACGACGGTATAGTCACCACACGGCGGCCACTGACCCTGGCCACACGGCAAGCCAGCTGATGTCAGCGGCCATGCACTCACCGCAGCCAGCGCAGCGTGTGGCTGATGTCAGCGGCAGTGGTGTCAGACACAAACCAGGGGCGCGTCTTAAACGTACACGTCGACGTGACGTACGAGACGTGCCTGCGTCAGCACCAACGTCAGGCACACGTCCGTCAGCAGCTCGTAGCCAGCGTTGTCCAGCACCAGCGCTGACGACGTAAGGAGGTTACTAGTGACAGCAGGGAGGTTACTAATGACATGAGGGAGGTTACTAGTCTTATCAGGGAGGTTACTAATCACTATAAGTAGGTTACTAGTGACATCAGGGAGGTTACTAATTCATGAGGGAGGTTACTAGTGACATCAGGGAGATTACTAATGACATGAGAAAGATTACTAGTTTTATCAGAGAGGTTATTAATCACTATAAGGGGGTTACTAGTGACATCAGGGAGGGGTCATTAGGTAAGACGGGTAATGGTCCAATTCGTATGACTCATATTACCAGCAAGCTATTAGTATACCTCGTAGGTTTAACATAGGCATTAGTACCTATTGATTTAAAAATAATTTTTTAGCAAAGCAATGAAATTTTTAGTTACCAAACTACTCATCACTCAACAAATGATTACCAGTAATTACCAATAATTCAAGGAAAGGTCACTCAAATTACCTACCCAGAGTAGAGTCAGCCGCTGACTTCGCTCTCAGAAGCTGACAGACCTCAGCGCTGTCGTTGACGAGGAAATCTTGCCTGACTGACGTCAGCCAGTCCAGTATTCTGCAATGGTCAGCGTTAGTTACGTTGTCAGCAGCCCTGTCACCGATGGCATTTACATCAGAATAAACGCTGGCTCTGTCAGCCTTACTGTCAGCGACAGCACTGCTGTCAGCGATTGTTTTGTCTCTCGGACAGGCATCATCATGTCTACTTCTAGAGCTGACATCGTTAGAGCCGACATCGTAGCAATCTTCTCCGTAACTCCGAGCAATGAGACGTAAAATGGACTTGCCATCGCTGCTGACAGTGCTGATGCCAGCTGCTGGACTGGCCTCCTGGCAGTCGTTGCTGACGCCAGCCACGGCAACGGCCGTCCCTCCTGACAGGCTGAGGTCGTACTGGTTGCCCCACACCGACAACTGCAACAACAATGACAACAACACTGATAACAATAATAAATGATAACAGAAGTGCAGCAACAATAGAAATGGTGAGAACAGACGCGACAACAACAGTGATAACAAGTGAGAAGTCCAGCAACAATAAAAATGGTGAGGAAAGGAGTTACAACAACAACAGCAATAACAAATGAGAACAACAACAGCAACCACAAAAATAATGAAGACAGAGGCGACAACAATGATAGTTGTAACAGCAACGGTCACAACACCCGAGAGCCTGACGATGAATGGAACTAGCTTTTTGACCTAGCATGACGATGCATAGAACTAGCGTGACGACGGAATGAACTAGCATAATGAAAGCCAGCACCTCAAGCATGACAGTGTCAGCACCTCCAGCATGGCAGTGACAGCACCTCCAGCATGACAGTGTCAGCACCTCCAGCATGACAGTGACAGCACCTCCAGCATGACAGTG